CTTCTTGGAATAGACAATAATATTTTATTTCATTCATAGATGATTACTCACGTTATGGCTACCTATATCTCATTCATGAGAAGTCTCAATCATTGGATCTATTCAAGGCTTATAAAGCTAAAGTTGAGAATCAAATCAACAAAAAAATCAAAAGCATCAAATCTAACCGTGGTAATGAATACTATGGTAGATATGATGGATCGAGTGAACAACGTCCAGGACCTTTTGCTAAATTCTTAAAAGAATGCGATATCGTCCCACGGTACTCCGTGTCGTGAAGTCTTGGCATGAATGGTGTGGCTAAGAGGTGAAACAAAACACTTAAGGACATGGTAAAGAGCATGATAAGTCATTCTACCTTGCCAAAATCTCTTTGGGGAGAAGCATTAAAAACTATAACTTACATTCTCAATACAGTTCCAACTAAAGTGACGGCTAAACCCCTTATGAACTTTTGACGGAAAAAAAGCCTAGTATAAAGCATTTACAAATTTAGGGTTGTCCAATCGAGGCAAGGCCTTATAGGCCAAATGAAAAGAAATTAGACTCAAGAACAATTAGTTGCTATTTTGTTGGCTACTCTAAGAGGTCAAGGGGTTACAAGTTTTATGATCCTACAACTAAGTCTATTTTTGAGATGGGGAATGCTCTATTCTTTGAGGATGTTGAGTTTAGAAAGAAGAGATAAGGTTAGAGACTTTGTCTTTGAAGAAGAATTTATTTCTCTTCCTATAATTGTTACTAACAATGATAAGGATCTTATTCCTAACATTGATCAAGTAATAAATCCAGAACAAGAAGACATTGTTCAAGACCCCCTCATCCTAAATCAAGATTTAGTTCCCGAAGAACAAATTCAAAAACCTCAAGAACCAATGCCATTAAGGAGATCTACTAGAGAAAGGATAAATGCGATTCCGGATGACTACATCATTTTTCTCTAAGAACATAAGGTCGACATAGGAGTGGTGGAAGATGATCCAATTCACTTCCATCAAGCCATGCAAATTTCTAATTCTCAAAAGTGGATTTATGCTATGAATGAAGAGATAAAGTCCATGAAAAATAATGACGTTTGGGATCTTGTCTCATTGTATGAGGTGTGAAGCCCATTGGTTGCAAATGGATATTTAAAACCAAAGGGGATTCACAAGGTAATATGGAAAGATAAAAAGCTTGTCTTGTTGCAAAGGGCTTTACTCAAAAGGAAGGAATTGATTATAAAGAGACTTTCTCTCCGGCTTCGTCGAAGGACCCTTTCGGAACTATCATGGCACTCGGTGGCACATTTTGACCTCGAGTTACATCGGATGGATGTAAAGACAACGTTTCTCAATGGTGACATTAATGAGATAATTTATATGGTACAACCAGAAAATTTTGTGCCGAGAGATGTAAAGAAAGTGATTTACAAATTAAAGAAATCCATCTATGGACTCAAGAAACCTTCTCGTCAATGGTATTACAAATTTCTTATCTCATTTGGTTTTGAGGTAAATGCGATTAACGATTATATATACCATAAGTTCAGTGGGAGTAAACACATTTTTCTAGTATTATATGTTGATGACATACTACTTGCCGAGCAATGATATAGGCTTATTGCATAAAACCAACGGATTTCGACAAAGAAATTTGAAATAAAAGGTCTTGGGGATGCCTCTTTTGTGTTAGGCATACGGATATACCGAGATCACTCTCAAGGTGTTCTTGGGTTGTCACAAAAGAGCTATATCAAAAAGGTTCTTAAAAGATTTGGCATGCAAGATTGTAAACTAGGAGATACCCCTATTGCTAAGGGAGACAAGTTCGGCCTCAATCAATGCCCCAAAAATGAGTTTGACGTGAAAGAGATGCAAAAGATCCCATATGCCTCAACTAAAGGGAGTCTAATGTATGCTCAAGTGCGTATGCGTCCGGACATTGCGTACATTGTTGGGATGTTAGGCGGATATTTGAGCAATCCCGAAATGCACCATTAGAAAGCACTTAAATGGGTTATGCGGTACTTACGGAAAACAAAGGATTACATGCTTACATATAAGAAATCGGATTAGTTAGAGATCATTGGGTATTCGATTCCGATTTTACCGGATGTCAAGACAAGTCGAAGATCTACATCGAGCTATATCTACCTACTAGCTCGGAGGAGCTATTTCCTGGAGGAGTGCTAAGAAAACACTCATAGCTTCTTCCACAATCGCAGTAGAGTTCGTAACATGTTATGAGGCATCTAACCATGGGATATGATTGTAGAATTTTGTCACTGGGCTATGAATTTTGGATGGTATAGAAAGACCATTAAAGTTGTTTTGTGACAATAAGTCAACAAGTACTATATTCCAACAACAATAGGAGCTCGTCAAAGTCGAAGCACATAGACATCAACTTCCTAGTTGTTAAAGAAATAGTTTAGAGTGATCAAGTGTCTATAGAGTATATTAGCACAAGCTCCATGGTTGCGGATCCGTTTACTAAGGGCTTGCCACCCAAGGTCTTTCATGAGCATATTGCTCGTATCGGTGTAATATCACTTGATGATATAGCGATTTAGTGAGAGTTTGTATTTAAATGCTTTTAATTATAGATAAATTTTATGGATATTTTCTACGGAATGGTGTATGGTTTATCGATACTCCGAATTTATTTACCGTGACCTCACTAAAGAATAAAGTTGGACTAGTTGGAAATAGGCATGTTTAGATCACATTGCATTTAATTTTCATGCTACACCTCCATATTTGATCTATGTCATTGGTTATATTGATATACGTGACCATTGATGGGTCTAGTTACGATAAATGTAACGAAGATCGCTTTGATCCTATATTGATATAATTAATGGACTAGATAGTTTAAAGATTCCTTTAGCTATGATAGCAAATTTTGAGCTCATAAAATCAATTTTATAATGCACAATTGCAAAATACAAATAAATGGCCCAAGTGGGAGATTGTTGGAAAAAAAATTAATTTGTGAGCCAATTATATTATTAATTGGGTGTTATAGGCTATCATAAAAGAGATTAGCCCATTTACAAGTGATCCGATAAAATTTTAAGTTGTTTGGGCTTTATGTGTATATATACTAAAGTCTAATTTTTATTTTTATGATGAGCCAAAATAGAAATTAGACCCAAAACAATTATTATATATATAGGGTTATGGTCTCCAAGTCATACGTAGAGTTTTCTATTCTAACATCTCATCATTAGATAGAATACAAAGAGACAAAATTTTTCTCTAAAGGAAATCGGATAGACTTGAAAATCGAGAACCGCAAAAACCGCAACCAAGTCTCGTTCTTATGAATTCGAGTACCTTTTCGCTTTAATTCTTCTCTTTGATGATTTAACATGTGATCTTGATTAAGATGATAATTTATCTTTAGAGAATATTTTAACATTAATGTCTCTAACCAATGGAATTACTATTAATATAATTGAATCTCAAATTCAGAAATAACTTTTAAACTACTATTTCGTCGAGCATACATTATTCTTCAGTTAAGGCCTAGAATACTGCTCCATGTCAAGGTGGTTGTTACTGTTTACTGAAGATGTCAAGTTTCTAATTTTCCTCGACTTCTTGTTGAACAGAACAGATAAGCCTAAATAAAGAAGGCTATTCCAACCTAGCTAAGCACGCCTGGCCTTGTTCAAACTCCAAAATTTGCCCAATTTCACCACGATCGTGCTGGGTACGAAGGAGGCCCTGCCTCAAATGATCTTGCCTTGACAGCCCTAGTTTGCTTTTAGCATGCGCTATTAATTAAGGGTAAACTGTTCTAATTTTTTCTAAACTTGAAATCGTCTGAAAATTAGTTTATGCATTCTTAATTTTAGTTTTGATCTTTTTATACTTTAGTATAGGATAAATATGCTAATTTATTCTTATGTAATACTCAAAATCTCTCTCATTTTCCTAAATTTTCAATTATATCTCAGTTATTCCTAGAAGTATTTGAAATATTTAATTTATCATTTTGATTAATTTTTTCAATCAAATAATTTTTTGACTGAAAGTAAAGTGACCAGGATGGTGTATTTAAATATGTTTTGTAAGATGTTCAATTCCAAAACCACCTTTTTTTTAATGCTTTTTTTTTTTTTTTAAGAACAATATCAATTCAAGTACATATTGTGAAAAATATAATTCTATCACTGAAATATTAGAGAAAACTAAAAAATATGTTTGTGAATAGCCTAAACCACCATATTTATTTTGCAAAAAACCCATCATGCTTAAAAAGAAATTGTTCAATATATAATCTTCAAATCAATAAATTTGCACAGAGAGAAAGAGAAGGTCATCCTCTATCCTTTCTTGTCCTTAATTAAATTCACTGATAAAGTAAAAGCAGAAATCAAATGTCAATATCAAAGAAAAAAAAATGTCCCCTTGTTTTTTAAACCAAACATCTGAGTAGGCGAACATGATATATGGTTGAGATTGAAATTTCGGATTGCCTTTGTTAATCATATTTAATTTTATGGAGCAGTAAAAAAAACAAGATTTTGAGTTCAGGTTGTGTTCTTGTCATCTCCGAAAAAGGGGAAAAAAAGAAGAGAAATAGTGGCTAAAAATAGAGATACCCTGAAGTACTAAAATTTAAGAAAGGAACCAGGTATCTTGTAGTGCACAAATTTTGGAAATCCTACCCGATTTTCACTGCCTTGTCTCTCTGTCTTTGGTGTGTCTTGTTTCGAACACCAACCATGTTTTACGTAAAACATATTTGAATATGTCCACCCTGTGAAAAATCTGACCAGGCATCCTCATTATGCATGCAATTTAACAAGAAGAAAGAGCTAGCAGTGTTCATCATCATCACCGCCATCGTCATCTCTCATGAATTCATCCCTACCCCTGCAAAATCAAACAAATATTCTCTCATTCATCACACACACACCAACATCTCATCAATGAACAAAAATGGACGAGGATAAAGAGGAAATAATAATCATTTGATCTTATTGTCCCTCAAGTTTCAATACACAAATGCCTGTAGAAGACCCCACTTCCGGGCGCTTATTTGTATGGCTCGTCTCTTCCTTCTTGTTTATTACTTTAGCAGCTGGAGGCAGCTTGCTGCTTATGTACGTTGTCCTCCCTGCAGACCCATCTAGAGCTTGGCTTCCTGTTGCAGGTATAGCCCTGGTTTGCCTGCCTTGGATATTCTGGGGACTCACATGCTTCTATCGGGTTATTTCGCGAATATTTGGATTTCGGGTTGCAGTTGGCTCTGGTAATGCTGGTGGTGGTGGTGGAGGAGGTGGTCGCGATCGTGCAAATGCGTTTAATACGACAGAAAATGCAGCAACTAATAACGAGTCCGTTAACATCGAAACTCCAGGGGGAGATGGAAGGCAGGATGAGTTTGAAGGGCCAGTGGTGATGGTAGAGCAAAATGATAGCGGTGGCAATGGAAAAACTGCAATTAAGAGGAATTTATCAGCAAGCAATTCAATCAACAACATGTCTTTTAGGTCGCACGAGAGTGAATTGCCATTGACCTCATCCATGGCATCTTGATTGATCCATATAAGAGCTAAGGTGGATTTTTCTTTTTCGTATCATTGGCATGGGATTGGTGATGATGATCTGAATGAAGCGAAAGTTTCTCAATCCAATCTTGATCTGTTTTCACCAGGGAAGCCATTCATTTCCTTGCTACCATCCAATTCGGGTTCGTTTTTTCATAGCTATACACATCCATATATCTGATCATAAAATTTCACAAAGTTGCTTAGAATTGCTCTGATCTGTCCTCAACACCCAACACCCATATTAGACAATATTGGCGAACGATGAAAGTAACAGTAGAAGAACTAAATGCATATCCAACTTTTCTCTTGATATTTGATGGAATGTAGGCAATTTAATTATGTATCTCTCATTATAATCATCTTGAGATTGTTTCAAGAATTTTGCTTCTCCTTCTAGGCATTAGTTTTTTGTTTTTTGTTTTTTTTCCATTCACAGATTTATTAGGTATAGGCATTTTCTTTTCTCTTTGCTTACTTCGTTCATAGATTTCCGGTCTGAAAAATTCAAATACATGTAAATCTTTCTTGTTTTTGTTCTTTTAGTTTCTTGTATTTAACCTGTGGATAATAATTGAGTTATGTTAATACAATTTCCGATTAATACATTTACAATAATTAATGTAAAGCTTAATATATTTTCCTTGTCCTTGTTAATCCTCTATTTGATGATTGGTTATAGAAATTCATAGTCATGCACATGTAATTGCATGTGCTAATGTGCTTCTCCTTCTTCTTCTTCTTCTTCTTCTTCTTCTTCTTCTTTTTTCTTTTTCTTTTTTAATATCATTTTTCCTTTCAGTCATGACCTTACAAGATAGAATCTGTAAGTTGATATATTGAAGTTCTTGACAGTTCTATTTGATAGATGTTTTGCTCTGCTAATCAGTTTCTCATTAAGATCACCAAATATTTCGTTTCACCCTAATTGTTCAATTGCCTTTCTGTAGTGCCTTTGAAGGAATCCAAAGGCACATGAAGCATATCCGGTCGTGACCACTGAACCATAGCCGGATAACACAAACATCCAGAGTCTTGGGATTTTTTCAAAGACGGCACAAATCACAGTTCGAATAAACCATAAAAACCAAAGCAATCAATCTTTTAGGAACCCAAAGAAATGCCTACAAACAGAAGGCCTTTTGTTTTCTGTTTTGGTTTTTAAGGTTTCTGAAGGACGGGATTGAAACTCAAGATAAATGAGAAAAAAAGAAAGATAAAGAAAAAGAGAGAGCTTAAATAATTAAGCAAATAATTCAAATTGAAAAAAGCGAGTAGCCGATTTCAAGGCATATAATCATGAGATAAAAGACTATGAACAATATCATCCTCAGATGTGAATGCTTTTGTCGAGGCAAATTTTCTCATTCTTTCATCATTCTTATAGCTCCAGAAGTCATCAACATTGAATGTCTTGAAATGACGAAGTATGATTATTGGAGAGAGCTGTTCTCCATTTTTTTTCTGGATTTGACTATGATCTAGCTATCTAGAACACACGATATGTGTAAAGATGTTGAATGTCCTCCATCTTAATTTGAACTTATTGATGGACCACCTATCATGCATTATTGCATCGACTTTAGCAATAAAGAAAGTGTGTGACACAGCCGGATCTGATGAACTGTTGAAGTGATCTTAGAAGGTATCATCTCCTTTTTCTTGTTTTGACAAAGGTCAATATATATATATATATATATATATATATACCCACTCTTTATCCTATTAATACCTATTAATTTATTTTGATTCTTTATTAACATATAGGGATCTAATTGTATAAAATTTAAAAACTAAGGATCAAAATAATTTTTTAAAAAACTTTGAGAATCAAAAAAATTATAAATAATTGACAAAAATGCAAAAAAGTTAAATTTTAAGGACAAAAAACTTTTCTTAAAATTTATAGAGACTAAAATAAATATTTTTTATACATTTATTTTTAGCCGATATTAAATTGATACAAACTGGACGGGTAAACTAATGTGAATCGTGTATGAGTTTGGTAATTAAAGATTTATATAATGATTTTTTAATAGATAATGGATATAATATTTTTTTATGAGTAGGGCAAAAAATTGAATCAATAGGCCCTCTCATTGCCATCCTTACCCTATATGTAGGTAATCTCAATTTTATCCCAAAATAAATTTTTATATTAATTTCGTCCTTGAAGTTTCAGAGATTCTTGATCAAATCCTTACCTCCACGTTGTACTTTTTTGTAAAAAAAAAAAATGATGTCTTTGATAAGTAACTCAAAATTTCATGTTAAGATATTCTAACGGAAGTTACTAATTTAAAAATCAAAATTGTTTAAAGGTAAAAAATTAATAAAAATATTTGTTTGAATGTAAAATTGATATTATCTAAATAATTGGAGAGCATTTCTCCAAATTTGTCCTCTTTTTTTATGTATATAAAAATAGAAATGAAGAAACTTTATATCTTTCCCAAAATATAAAATACTTTTACAAGTAATATTTTTATAGGCGATTACTTCCTCACTTGTATGTAGTATCTTAGCTTGCCTATATTGAGTAGTTAATTTATCCAAGATAGCCAACAGGTGAAGCTATATATGCTTGGGGATGTGAAGGGGTTCTCATAATTGCTTATGCCAATCAACAACAATTATGTCCTTTTTTCTTATAGCTTTCCACATACTTTTAGTAGAAAATTGACCATTAGGAGTAAGATTCCAACCGACAACATCTTTTTGGAAAGGATGTGGATAGATCACACTACATATCATACTCTAAATAAGCTCCATTTGATTGCTTATAGAAGCAGACCACCTCCAATCATCATTAAGAATTACTTCTAATAATAGCATTGCATTTGTGAACAATCAAGTTTTCTTTATTATTTCATGACAATAATGTTTAACCAATAGACCCACAAAGATGCTAAAGATCCCACCAAATGGAAATATTTTTACCATTTCTCACTATGTATGATATATAATCCCAAACAATTTGTCTGAGTTTCAAAAGGTTCCTCCAATTCCATGAGCATTCACTAGGAACAGCACAGACTTCACAAACTTCTATCTTTCAAATAAGAAGTTTGACACCATACAATCTAAAGTGATCCTGGCTTTAACAAAAGACACCATATACTTTTCGTAAAACAAACAATATTTCATTCTTTCATTTTCCTAAGGCCTAAGCCTCTTTCTTTTCTCGGTAAAATAACATATGACCACGCAACTTTTGCTCTTTCAGCAAAATCACTCTTGCCCAACCAAAGGAAAGCATTGTACATTTGTACTTCTTTTCAACCTCTTTAACGACGTGTGCATGCAAGATGAACAAAGAAACCCAATAATTTTGAATGCTAAAAATCACAGTAGAGACTAATTGTAACCTACTAACAAAAGAAAGCATCTTTATAGCCTAATGTTGCAATCTTGCAGTAATCTTCTTAACCAAATTTTAGCACTTCTTCAATTCCTAATTTTGCTAAGATGAGAGAGACTCCTAAGTAAGTAACAAGTAACTTCTCCAGTTTAAAGCCAGAGTAGACATGCAAATCATTCGCAAGACTAGAAGAAACACCACTACAAAAAATTTCACACATGTTTGGATTATATTACGAGCCAGATAAGAGTTAAAATTACAGCAAAATATTCTTAACATAATGCGAAGCTTCCATAGTGCCATTTGTGAAGATCATCAAATCATCTGCAGAACACAAATGAGTGAGATTAATCTTTATCACATCTGGGTGCAAAGAAAAGAATCCTCCAGAGGATAAGTAAGAGTGGACTTCCACGGATATAACAAAAAGACAATGAGAGATGGGATTCCTTTGTTCGAGAACTTTTTTTTTTTTTTACCACAAAGGCAGCTATTAATGCATGATAGCAGAGTAGAGATGACTATTGATACAAGCTTTGATCCAAGCAAGAAATCGAAATGATTTAGGCTATCTCTTGGACTAACCAGATACTGTCTCCAATTCTTGTATTTGATTTAGGTTAATAAGTTGAGGAAGACATACTTTTAGCCTATTTGTAATGATTTAGGCTAATGAGTTGGTGGCCTATGTTCTTTGATCCAGTTAAGGCATTTCTTCCATTAAATCAAACACATACACAAATGGTCTATGGACAACTATTAATGTAATTTTAACAGATAAGCCTCATGGTTAAAAAAAAAAAAAAAGGTTTATTTGCTTTTCTAAATTCAAACATTAATTTATCTTCAATCAATCCTCATATACCATGAAAAAGCGAATTTGTTTAGTTTACCACATGTTGCAAAATGGTGCTATCTTGAATGTCCAATTATTTATAAAACCAGGCTTTTTTTTTTTTTTTGTGGGATTGCTCATCAAATAATAATAATAATAGTAACCTTTTCTTAATATTTTAAGTTCTTATTTATTATTTATTTTCTTCATTTGGTGATTTATTTTCATTTAGAATTATAATTTTAACTTGGACACTCAATCAAAATAATTTAAATTTGATGATTATATTGACCTTCCTCTCTATAATCGTCTCAATACTTGCTATTACCCTATTATTTTGACAGTTTCATATCATAATTTCTATCTTAATGCCACATGCACATAGTGAAAATCAGTATATATATATATATATATCTTACTTCTCATATCATGACTCCAACTATAAATAATATTGTTAAAATAGGCTAATTCAAACAAATATCTGTTTTGGATTATAGTCATATATTTATTTATTTTTTTCTTTCTAATTTCAACTTCTAAACCGAGAAATATTTTGATTATTTATTACATTCATTTTTTTCCGGTAAATAACATATCGTTACCTACTTTGTTCAAGAAGATACCGGAATAATTAATGTAGCTAGGTTGTTTAATTACTACAACAAAATTAAGTTTTCATGGCATTTGTCTAATAAAAGAAGCTATTAAAATAAATACTATAATGGGTATTCATTATAATAGCATTCATAATTGCTATTTCTATATATTTTAACAGCATTTTTCTTAATTTTAGTGGTAATTATTGTATATTTTTACCTATAACATTGTTAGTAAAATTGATATAATTATCTTAATAAAGATAATGATTTAAAATACTATTAATTATAATATGTAATTGCAATGACATTTTACTCAAATTAATGTGGGTATAACTACGAAAAAATTGCTACTAAAATTTTATTTTATAGATTCATCAAGATGACCACCTCCTTTGCTATGAACATCTTATAAAGAAAGTGGTTCGGTTAATTTTAACATCATTCCCAATATATTATACGATCTCAATCAAAATTAATAATAATTATAAAAAATATTAAAAAATTTATAGATGCCAGTGCATGCTATGTATAAGTAGAAGACAAGGAGTGAAAATCAGCTGAGAAAAAAAGGCATAAAATAGGAAAGACAGCATTGATTAATATTACGAATCTTTTGGGAAGCCTCATTGTCATCTACATGTTAATTGATTCTTCATTTCATCTCAAAGCTAGTTAGGCTTCAATTCTATTAATTTCAACCACAACATATGAGATATTTCTCGAATTGTTTTATTTCATAAATTAATAAAGTGTATTAGTGGATTTGTGAATAAGATAATCATCAAACTAATAAATAAACTATTTTCATCATAAACGCATCGTTAAGATAATTAAATTCAATGTAATTGACGTGTTTTATATCAATATTATAACACATGGGTTATAATACATAATCATGTCTTGTACGAAAAACTAATAAATATAAAATAAAACACTTAATCAGTATAAATATTAGATTTTTTTTATATCAACTAATAAAAAATATAACTATTATTCGATATATAGATTCATGAGATAAATTAAACGGTTTAATATATTTATTTTTTCTTTGATTTTTTCAGCTAGTTTTAATGTAGAGACTAGAGAGTATATCTTTAAAAATCGTTTTTAATTCATTTGATGAGAGAACTTATTAAATTACAACGTCATATATTGCATTAAATTATATTAATTTTACTTTTTTTTGTTTTTTCTTTAAGGGCTCAAGTTACCAACTAATCATAGTTTGTTAAATTTAAATTATTTTTTGTAATTAAATTATGTAAGCAGAAATAATTTACTTAGAAAAATTAAAATAACCAATGACTTTTTTAAAGACACTGGAACAATCTATATTTTATACAATTGTTTTGTTTCCAAACTACAAAAATAAAATCAAGATTTCAAAAATCCCAAACCAAGCGGGAAAACAAACCCATTCAATTCAAATTCAATTCATCCCTTATAAAACCCTACATTTCTCTCTTTTCTATTTCTGCTTCTCTCTTTCTCTCTCTAACAAGTACAAATGGCGGATCTTTCAAAAAGCACCCACAGAAAACCAATCAGTCTCAACGACCGCCACTACCGCCTCCTTGAAGACCTCTCCGCTCCTCCCAAACAACCTCCGCCGGCAACACCCTTCGGTCTCTCTCTCTCCAACTCCTTTTTCTGTTTTATTTTTATGATCTATGATTGTAGGGTTCTAGAATTTTGAATTGATTTGATTGGTGTACAGAGGAAGAAGAAGAGAGTGTATTTAACGTGAAGCTCGAAGGACGACGTCGTATTTGCAAAGCAGAAGCAGAAGATGATAATATCCCTAAATTCTGTGGAATCACTGATTTTGATTCTTCTCCTGGTAATATCCCTATTTTGATTTCCCTAATTATCCTATTTTAATTTATTAACAAAACCCTAATTGGTACAGCTACAAAGGTTTGAATTTTTTGTTGGGTTTTGATGTGGGATATTAATTTTTCAGAAGAGCAAAAGCCTACAAAGGTTAAGATTAAAGGAAGGCGGAGACTTTGCAAAGTCTCTTCTGGAGATAATGGGGATGACGAGAGTAGAGACGAAGTGATAGTTGATACTAGTTTTGATGATATTGCTGATTTTAAGTCTCCGATACCGTCTAAAAGTGTTGCTGATTGTGAGAATAATAGGGGAGTTAATGAGATAAAAGATATTCTTAATGATTTGACCTCAAGGCTTGATCTTTTGTCGATTGAAAAAAAGAGATTGCCTGAAAATAATAATGTGGTTAAGAAAGTTGACGTGGTTGAATATGCGAGTGCTGAGTCTTCGTTTTCTTTATCATCTGGTCCATCTGATTCCTCGTCGGGTGTGAATAAGCATGTTGGAGGTGGTTATGAGAGTGCTTTGGATGAGAATGACGAGGGTCTTTTGTTGAGTGACTCTTTTGTTGATGAGGTTAGTAGTAAGGCCAATGACATTAATAGGGCGCTAGAGAAGAATGAATGTGGAAGGGTGGATGAAAAGTTAGCCCCTGTGGGAAAATCTTTTGTGTCCAATGTTGTAGAAGAGGAAAAAGCTGTGCAGATTGAGTCTGACAAGGATGACTATGTCACTAGGGTGGAGAAAACTAAGAAAGTTACTCAAAGAGTGAAAAAAAATGAACCCAAATGGTTCCACGAGAGATTGAGGTCTGTAGGACGGTCTTCTGTGCGTAGTCTTCGAGATGATTCAGAAGACGAGAAAGATGATTGTGTGGTTTTGACTGGCAAAAAGGTGGACAAGAAAGTTGGGAGACCTGATGCCATTGCCAAGTATAAGGCCTTATCTGGTGAATCTAGTGAGACTAATTTGTTAGACAATCATGCAGATTCAGAGGATGATGGTTCCATTATCTTGCCTGGACTGGAATCTACTTACAAATTACCTGGAAAAATTGCAAAAAAGTTGTATCCACATCAGTGTGAAGGTTTAAGGTGGCTCTGGTCCTTGCATTGTAAGGGTAAGGGTGGAATCTTAGGAGATGACATGGGCTTAGGAAAAACGATGCAGGTAAGGAAGTGGGTGCAACAATTTATTATGATAATTACATAGTCAATGCCCCACTGTTATATGGATTAACTTTCATTTGTTTTATTCTGCAGATTTGTAGCTATCTAGCAGGTCTCTTCCATTCCAAATTGATTAAGAGGGCATTGATCGTGGCCCCTAAAACACTGCTCACTCATTGGATTAAAGAACTATCTGTTGTGGGGCTTTCTGGAAAGACTAGAGAGTGAGGCTGTTTGACTTCAGTCCTTTGAAAGTTCAAGTGTTTCTCTTTTACCATTGAAGAACAATGGTCTGTTAATGAACACTAATCACCTTTTGCACTCCCATGTAGATACTTTGGGACCTCATTGAAAGCTCGGGACTATGAGCTGCAATATATAATTCAGGTTTTACATGTGCCCTCCTTGTTCATACCTTTTGTACTTCCATGCGATAACTCTTAATGTCCAGACAGTTCATATTTGATACCTGCAGCCAAATAAGAGGAAAGAATCACATCTAAGTTTTATACTTTAATCTGACTTTGGGACTTGATGCAAGTTAAATTCTTCTGATGCTGAAATATCGTGCTGGTTCAATCATGGACATAAGTTCTGTAAAGTTTTAGAGCTGAACTGATGTGTTTGGTTTCTTGGAAGTTTGAATCATATCTTCTTTTCTTCAATGTTTTATTGGCATATACCATAACCTTGTTTATTTTTCAGATAGATATCAATGGGGTTTTGGCAGCATTTCCCATTATTGTTGATTATCTTGCTGATTTTAACATTTCATGTTTGTCTGGGTTCATCTTCTTGTTGCAGGACAAAGGAATTCTTCTTACAACATATGATATCGTGCGGAACAACTCAAAATCTTTACGAGGGGACCATTACTTTATTGATGAGGAAAGTGAGGATACTTACTTATGGGACTATATGATTCTTGATGAGGTAGACTCTGAAGTTCTAAATTTATTTTGTATTACACCTTCCCTTTTTACATATAGAAATCATGCAGGCATCAATTGTAAACTAGGAATCTTTATTTTTCTCTGAGGTTTCTGATTTAGAGTGATTGTTAAATTCGTGCTATGTTTCTCCAGGGACATCTCATAAAAAATCCGAGTACTCAGAGAGCGAAAAGTTTGCTTGAGATACCAAGTGCGCATTGTATTGTCATTAGTGGCACTCCGATTCAAAACAATCTTAAGGTATCATCCTTGGAATTCATACTTTGGTTTGCAGTTTTTATGAGATAACACGTGAAGGAAATTCTAGATATTTAACCTTTTATTCCGGTTACTTGAAAAAGGAATTGTGGGCCTTGTTCAACTTCTGTTGTCCTGATCTGCTTGGTGACAACAAATGGTAATTGTTCTTTTGATTCTTCAGTTAATAATAAGTTCATGCTTAGCTATGGCATTAATTTTGCATTTCTTCAGGTATAAGGAAACGTATGAGCATCCCATACTTCGTGGAAATGAAAAAAATGCTTCTGATCGGGAGAAGCGTATTGGTTCAACAGTTGCAAAGGTAATGCATTTGGATGTACTGTATTGTGCTTTGAACATCCTTTCTTGATTAATTACTTTCATTTTTCTCTGAGATTATGCCGTTAAATACGAATTGTTTTGGCCACTCTTCTGTGCAATTTTTGCTATATTCTTCTGGTACAGCTGAAATGGAAAACTGTAGAAGTGTGGATATATGTTTCTGTTGATCCATCAATAGAAATCAGTACAGTCAGGCCCGCAAGGAGCCATGTTTTCTAGTCTAAACATTCTTGTTTTTGCAATGGTGTCTTAGGCATTGACGCTTGTTCTAGTGTTTATTAGTAGGGTAGCTTTTCACCTCCTCTAATTATATTTGGTAGCATTTTTTGGAGGAAGGGAAGTATTAAGTTGTCTCCTTGTTTACTCATGAAGTGAAAAATTTCTATAATGGCTTTTGATTTTCCTCCTGATTATTCTTTTCATGATAATTGTATTAATTTCCTAATGAGCATTAAAATAGAAATATACTCTAGTTGGAATTGCATTACAATTTGATGCAATTTACTATTTGTTTGTGCATATTTTTTATTGCGGAATAAAATATCTGGCAGAGGTCAAATTCACATGAGACTCAAAAATAAGCATTGAAATGCGTGCTTCTAAAATATTCCTTAAGAATCTAAAAAGCTCCAAAATGCTGACTTTGTCCTGTGGTTTTTGATGAATAAGATTCCAAAAGTAATGTATATGGTTTAGCCAAGGTTAATCAATGACGAGACTGCAACCATCTGAATCTTGTTTCTCTAATAATTTTTCGTCAATACCTTTTTGAGAATTCTCTTTATCGTGAATTGCTGCAATGTTCTTTAGATGATTTTTAATTGATCAAAAGATATCAAGCTTAATGGATTTGTATTAACATTTTACTTATTCCATTTTTGTGCTAGGTTGGCTGTTGGGCTTCATACTTTGCAACAAACTTGGTTTTTGTAACATTATGAAAGATTACAGATTATCTAATATTCAGAAATAGTCAGCTGACTGTATTCATGTCCTAATTTATATATTGAGTTAAACCTTACAATGTCATGCATTTAAAATTTTTGTATCTGTCACTTGTTTGTTCTTGTTTCTCGTTGAAGTGCTTGAATGTAATTCATAACTACATAAAAGTTGATGAATGATAGACCTGTATTATTTACTTTACAGGAACTAAGAGAGCGCATTCAACCTTACTTTTTGCGCCGTTTGAAGAGTGAAGTGTTCAAGGAAGATGATGCTACAACTGCTCAACTTTCCCGAAAGAATGAGATCATTGTGTGGCTTAGACTAACTGCTTGTCAGGTGTGGTGTGCTCACATGTCTGCATTTCAGTTCATTTATCATACATTCAATTAATTATGCAATTGCTCTACTTGTTTGTGCAGCGGCAACTATATGAAGCCTTTTTGCGGAGTGAGATTGTTCTCTCAGCTTTTGATGGCTCACCATTGGCTGCACTAACGGTGCTTTACTCTTCAAATTTTTTGCTTATGTTTGTTTGAGATGTGCAGAAAAAACAAAAATGCTTTTATGAGTAGAAAGGTGGTGTTTAATGCTTATTATTGTTTTCAATCAAGCAAGTGTGCATGTATTAACTCTAGTTTTTCCTTTTTGATTTGTAGTTGAGATGAACTGCTACTTGACTAATTCTATCCAAAGAAAATTTTAACGTTTACCTGTATTAAAAGGGAATTCCTAGTTATCATGTTCTGAGAAGCTCTCAATTTTACATCTCAAATACTATTTCTTTGATTCTATTGGTCATTCCATTAGTTTTTTGTTCTTGGTTCATATTTGGCAGATTTTTGGTAGGGCTTTAATTAGTAAATTTTAATGACTAGTTCAAATTTTGTTGAAGAATTATACTGCTCTATATCACTTTGATATTTAGGTTGCACTTATGTCATCAATTACCATTTTTGCTGGAGCAGATTTTGAAGAAAATATGTGATCACCCGCTTCTCTTGACAAAAAGAGCAGCTGAGGATTTGTTAGAGGGAATGGATTCCATGTTAAATCCTGAAGATGTGGCTATAGCTGAAAAATTGGCCATGCATGTAGCTGATGTTGCTGACAGAACTGACTTTCAAGAGAAGCATGATAGCATCTCCTGCAAGATCTCTTTTATATTGTCACTACTGGTTAGAGATTTCTCAGAATTACAGTTGATGCTCTTGATTAGCATTTAATCATTCTTGCTTAATGTATATGATGATTTCACAGGATAATTTAATTCCAGAGGGGCACAATGTTCTTATATTCTCTCAAACTCGCAAGATGCTTAATCTCATCCAGGTTTGTTTAAAACCATGAATCTGTGTTGTTGTATGCAATATGGCAATGGTTAATTTTTGGATTTTTCATAAATGTGGCTGATAGGATGAGAACTTAAAGGTTTAAGTTTGCAAATAAGTGAGATTTGTCCTTGGCATTGTATAAAATTTAGTAACAACATCATCACCAGCATATATTATTACTCCTAGAAGATCTGCAAATCTCCAAACTCGAGGACAGGAAATTGGCTCGTCTTCATTTCTGTCAATTGCTCTTGTCTTATGGTTTATGTGCCATTAGTTGGAAATTAAAATGACATTTTCATTGTGCAATTTTACATGTTTCCTCCGGATTGTGTTTATTGAAGTATTTTCTAGTTTGGACAATAAATTCAAGCCTGCAAATGTTATATGGAAGCTGACAAAATATTTCAATTCAGTGTCATATAGGAAGATGGTAAATTTTTTTCTATGTCTGTTCTGCTTATTGAAGCTGACACTCCAAATTCAAAATTTTGATATTCTGGCATCTTTAATTATGCATGAAAATGTCGTTTGGAAACACAAGCATATAATTTGTTTGCCTTAGATGTGCATTGTTGTTACTTTTTGGCATTATATTTTAGAATCATCTATTCTTTACTGTATTTTTAAAGAATACATTTTACTGTCCTTATAGCTGGATGGATATTAATGTTTAAAGTAATTCCTGGCCTACTCAAAATTATAGTATGTAGACAGTAAAATTCAAGGATTTTGAAAGTTCTTTATGTATCTTTTCTTCTTTAATTTGTTAGGCTTTCACTGAAGGTTATACATGACCTATCCTTTTGCTTTGATAGGAATCTCTGGTGTCCAATGGTTATGAGTTCTTACGCATAGATGGGACAACAAAAATCACTGATAGAGAGAAAATCGTTAATGTAAGTTTCCTAAAAAGTCAACCATTAGATTTTAGTTTTCACATATGAAATATTTATTCAAAATCTTTGTTTTCTGAAAATACATTTCAGGACTTCCAGGAAGGCAATGGGGCTCCTATATTTCTCCTAACATCTCAAGTTGGTGGTCTTGGTCTTACACTTACAAAAGCAGACCGTGTGATTGTGGTTGATCCTGCTTGGAATCCTAGGTGCTCCCTTAAGCTTATTTCTTTCACTTATATTCAGTGAACATGAACAGATGACATAAGATCAAGGATAGGCAAATTTGGTAATGACGTCAAATGGATTTGCCAAAAGATCAGATATTACCAGAGTTTATGAATATCAGTATTGTGTTTGTATTTGACGTAAATTGTCTACTCCATACCTGTGGGAGACTAAATTTATTTATTTTTCTTTATCTATTATTTTTATTGGCAGCTTGTGGAGTTTATGAATATTGCATGTAGAAAAATAAGTGAAAAAATGTTTGGGACATCCTTAAATGGCAAGGTGGATGCACTTCTACATCCTAAACTTTGGCCACTAAACTACACAAAGAACTTTTTAACTTCAACACATTTCTGATGTTTCACATACTTTTCTATTATTTCCCAATAACCTTTTTTGCTGATTCAGTTTTTGAGTTACACGCATGACTTCAAGAACACTTTAGTGTACTCGCTTCTGCTTTTCCCCATTGGTCTTTGTTAAGAATTTTCTTGGTGTAATTCTTGGGTCAATATATATCTTTCTCTTTGCAGCACGGATAACCAAAGTGTTGATCGTGCATATCGAATAGGGCAAAAGAAAGATGTTGTTGTATACAGACTAATGACTTGTGGAACTGTTGAAGAGAAAATTTATAGAAAGCAGGTTTAATGCTCATCTCCCTTCTTATTTACTGTTGCCATATGGTATTTACTAGATATGTAATAGCTGTTTCTGTATTGCAAAATTATGGTGTGATTATTGTTGGAACAACTGTTATTGTTGTCATGTGGTATTTAAAGATATGTATACTTGTTTCTGACAATCAGTTCACCAGGTTTAAATACATTTCCACAAGTGTTTGAAAAACTATATTGCATGTAAATGGTTTTGGACAAATTGCTTTGTGGAAGCATTTATTTAATAGGAAAACCTCAAAAAGACTTGAATGATCTTCTGTTGTTCAATTGAAGTTGAGATTCCAATTTACTTGTTGAAATATTGAGATTTTTCTAAACAATCTTTATACAGGATCTTTCCAATTTGTCCTCTGTACACATAACAAGAATTTACTTTGGACATTAGTTAGATGCATGGGTTGAACCATGAATATTTGAAATTGAAACATTAGTATGATGGGATTAAGTTGATTCTAAAAAAATTCCTTGTGTAGATATTCAAGGGGGGATTATTTAGAACAGCAACTGAAAACAAAGAACAAATTCGATACTTTAGCCAGCAGGTATGTATGGAAGACACTTTTATTTGTTGATCTGCTGGAATATTTTCCTGGCAAATTTTTTGAAGCATGTGATTTCTTTTAAAGTTCAATTGATTATTTCAGGATCTTCGGGAACTATTCAGTCTTCCAAAGCAGGGGTTCAATATTTCTGTCACACAGCAACAATTACATGAAGAGCATGACAGCCAGCACAAAATGTACTGAGCCTATTGGTGGCAACTACATTTAAGCATATTCATTTGTCACCCTCTGATTAGCGAAGTTGGACTGTGTTTATTATTAATACTTTACTTTTGTAGGTTCTTCACATTTGGAGGTCCTTCATCTTTGATTCTCCTCTCACCAAGAAACCCATTAGCGTTAGCAGCGTTTTTAAATTCCTAAAAATCTGTATTTGCACAAGGGTTGTTTTATCTTTTGAAGAGTAGAAGTTAGCTATTCATAGGCCTGGATCAAACATAATTAGCAGTCTAGCACCTTTCATTCATTGCAATTGTTCATCTATTAATAAAGAAATATTGCAAGGTTTTTTTGGAGTTGTTTGGTTATGAATCTTTGCAGTTGCAATGACTATCCATATGATTTCATGTCATCTTAACTCTTAATTATCTTATTGTTTCTGTAGGGATGAGTCTCTGGAATCCCACATAAAATTCTTGGAGACTCAAGGTATAGCAGGAGTCAGTCACCACAGCTTACTCTTCTCAAAGACAGCAACCGTGCAAGTTGCACAGGAAGAAGAGGATGAGATAAGGTGAATTTCTGTTCCCTTTTCCTGCTTTTGGGTACAACACAATTTTAGCTCCTTTAAATGTTCTTTATAAATATGAAGCTCCTCATTTTTCTATTTTTGCTTTCCTTGAGTACTGTTCTTGCATATTTTGAGCTGAGATAAAATGAAAATAAATTTACATCAATTCCAAAACCCCTCTTAGTTTGCATGAAGTCCCCTTTGAATCTAATCCAAACAATTCACAAGTTCAAATTCAAATTATGGAGCCACCAACGACTTTCTGTATTGTGATAAAATGTCTGCCTTTTTTTTTGCTATACTATCGGTATCCCCAACCACTGATTGTATAGCAAATTTTCAAATTATTAATCCAAAAAATATAGCAACTGTTCACTCTTTTTTTACCCTTAATTGTAAATTGTGGATTCAAACCTAAGGAGTATAAGCTCATATTTGCATTGGAAAGCTTTATTTATGCAAAGCATATGGATTCACCATCTTAATTCCTTATTTTCTAAATGTGGTATGATTTGGTGCTCTATTTGTGGGTTCAGGAAAAAGTTATCTGCAATGGTGAGAAATTCATCATCAAGCTATCAATTTGAACGCAATGTTGATGGGTATGGCCTTCAAGTTCAATTATTTATCTTTAATAAATACTCATCATACTCTTTCAAAGGTATTTAGTGCATGTTATTCATGTTCTAAAGATATGACAGGGGGCTGCCCATGCTTTCAATCCCAAGGATGTAAATCTGAACAAGAAAACCTCTTCCCCAGATAGTGTGGGTAAACTGACAGAATCTGAAATCAAAGAGAGAATCAATCGGCTCTCTCAAATACTTGGAAATAAGGTATGATTTAAATGAGAAGTGAGAAGGTAGATAAAAACTGTTTTGAGTTACAAAGATCGAAGGGTTGAGAATTGCCATTGAACCATATTTGAAAATTCATAAATAAAATATGAAGGCTGGTTTTGACCTTTTATTGCTTTTGTTTCCTTGGGCAGCCAATTTGTTTCTGATGCCATCAATAGCCCAAATTGTCGTATACATTATTCATTCTTGTTAAATGGATTCAACCTGCCATGCTATCTTAATTTTATTTTACTTTAAAGCACCATTTCAAGGTGGTTGCGCCTGAATTAAAATAGGAGCTTTTTAGTTGCTTCTTGTTTCTCAGTTTTGGCATTGTATTATTCTGTTTACAGGTTACGGTTTCAAGGTTGCCAGACCAAGGATCAAAACTACAAAAGCAGATTGGTGAATTAAATTTAGAGCTCAACAAGCTGAGGATGGAGAAAGAAACAGAGAGAAAAGGAGTCATCAGTCTGGATGATTTAACTGGGGAATTTGAAAGAGGATTGAATGTATAGACTGAAGCAAATGGAGGCAACGAAAGGAGGTTGAAATAATATTTTTTGTTGGTTAGACTGAGAATGGCGACATATATATATATATATATCTTCAACACGCAATGCTTTTTGGGTTGGGGCACGGACTCTCTGCTTGCTGTAAATTCAATCAAATGTAATTATTATCCATTTCAAACATTATGGTACAAAATTTTGTTTGGGGCCTTGCTTGTTATTTTAAGATAACAATGGTGGCCCCCCACCCCCCCAAAAAAAAAAAAAATCATTGGTATTGCTTATAGAACCTTTGATCAAGTTGTCTGCTACATTATGGGACTTTGATTTATATTATATACATCATTACTGCTGTTTGTTCATGTTTTAACTTTGTGTTTTTCTAATGATATTGTGACTATCTTTAAACTTAGTTGTCTTAGAAGTTAGAATGATTGTAGCTCATCTCCAAAGGTTTTTGTACTTGCAGGTTTGACAAAAGTAAAGTTCAGGTTTTGAAGAAAAGAGGTCAAATAATGTGAAATTAAAGGACTGGAGTATAAATAAATCTCCGATTGGATTACAAGTTTCTTTTTTGAGTGCACTTAAGTTTCACCATAAATCTGTTAATCATGAAGCATGTTATCAATTAATGCTTGATTTAGGTAGAATCAAGAAGAGATGAAATCCTTGATAATGTGACCAAGGTCAAGTGTTTGGTTCCTCGGACTAAAAAAGTAGACGTGCACCATTGTGGTATTGTCCTTGTGTTTTCTTAGTAAGTTTGTAAGAATCTAATATCCCAACTTATGGTTACACGCTGATTCTTAATTGAAGCCTCAAACTATTTTTTTCTCATTTGAATCCCTGATGTATTAAAAAGTTTCTATTAAATCCTCTCATCCATATTTATTGATATTTTCTATGTAAAGCTTACGTCGTCTTATGTAACAAAACAATACTGTTTTTAAGATAACTTAGCATTTTGTGTGAAAATTTAAGACAAATTTAAACGGCTTTTTGATAAATAATAGTTTAAATATCTAATTTAATAAGAACAACTTACATTTTGAGATAATATGAATTTTTTCTATCAAATACATGATAGTCTCTCAAACCATCATGCATGGATACCATTAATTACTTCATAATCTTTAAGCAATAAGTATCTTTAATTTTAATACTAATCTTTTGTATAAGAGGAAATTTCTCTCTTTTTGTTTTTTATATAAAAGAAATTCAAGGACATAAAAGATTATATATATAAATAATTTTAGAGATAGACAATTACACGTATCATTTAAAATAAAATTTAAGCAATCTAGGAAGTCTCCACAAAATAAGTAACATTATATCCAAAATATATATATAATTGGTTAAACTGCAACGGATTGCCTTAAAAAATATATGTAAATTTGAATACATCAAGATATTGTAAAACAAGTAAAATTGCTTCAACCAATTAAGTGTTGTATCCTATCATTTTTAAAAATCAAACCAGCAATTAGTTTTAAATCCACATCTGTTATGCATTAATGATTTTGATTTCAAAATATTGGTGATACAATAAACATAGTATAACACATGGTGGCCTAAAAGATTACCATGTATTATGTAGGAGGAATTTCTATTTATTTCTTTAGAAAAAAAATTGCTCAGTTACCTAATTGAAACTTAGTGTATAGATTAGGAACTTACATGAGTTTTTTTTTCAAAAAAAAAAAGAAACAGAAGAAGAAGAAGGATGCAGGTGCTAAACACAGTAAACTGTCTGTGTCTCTCTCCCACTTTCTCTGTATCTCCTCCAAAATACTGCATAAATCCATAACTGAACTATAGATTATTTTGATTTCTCATTACCCATAAAAAATGACCAAAAATTAACATGGCAATTAGATTACTCCACCACCAACCCTTCCTCACCACCCTCACCTCCTCCACTAATCTTCTCTCTCTCCGCCTCTTCTCCTCCATCCAAAGCGGCACCTTCTCTTCTGAAAACGATGCTATCTGTCCTCAAAGCGATACCCATCTCCCCAAATTTGAACCTTCAAAAGACGCTGACTTGCTTTCCCAAATTCTCCTTCACCACCACAACCCATTTCATGCCATGGAATCATCTCTCCAGTTATCCGGCATTACTCTCACTCCTTCCCTTCTTCACCAAACCCTCCTCCGCCTCTGCCATAACTCCAAAATCGCCCTCTCCCTTTTCCACCACTCCATCTCCCTACCTTCCTCCTCGACGGACACTTCAAGAACCTCCACTGGCAGTTCAGTTGCAACGACCGACACTTACAATCTCGTAATCGACATTCTCGCCAAAGTCCGACAATTTGATGTCTGTTGGCAACTTATAGTGGAAATGGAGCAAAATAATGTAAAACCCACTTCGGAAACTTTCTTTGTCCTCATTAGGAGATTGATTGCGGCGGGACTTACTCGCCAGTCGATTCGCGCTTTTGATGATATGGAAAGTTTTGTTTTTGAGCCAGTGAATGAGACCCATTTTTGCTTTTTGCTTGATACTTTGTGTAAATATGGGTATGTGAAAGTGGGTGTTGAGATTTTTAATAAAAGGAAGCATAGGTTTAGTCCTAATGTGAGAATGTATACAGTTTTGATATATGGGTGGTGTAAGATTGGTAGAATTGATATGGCTGAGAGGTTTTTGAGAGAAATGGGTGAGAGAGGGATTGAGGCTAATGTTGTTACATATAATGTTCTGTTGAATGGGATTTGTAGGAGGGCAAGTTTGCATCCGGAAGGTAGGTTTGAGAGGACAATAACTTTGGCAGAGAACGTGTTTGATGAAATGCGTAAGAGAGGGATTGAACCAGATGTCACGAGTTTTTCTATTGTTCTTCATGTGTATAGTCGGGCGCATAAGCCTGAATTGACACTTGATAAGTTGAAGTTGATGAAGGAGAAGGGGATTTGTCCGACTGTGGCTACGTATACTTCGGTGGTTAAGTGTCTATGTTCGTGTGGGAGGATTGACGATGCAGAGGAGTTGCTTGGTGAGATGGTGAGGAATGGTGTCAGTCCTAGTGCGGTGACTTATAATTGTTTTTTTAAGGAGTATAGGGGAAGGAGGGATGCAGATAGTGCATTGAAGTTGTATAGGAAGATGAGGGAGGTTGATTTGGGGTTGTTGAGTTTGCATTCGTATAATATATTGTTGAGGATGTTTATGATGTTGAATCGATTGGATATTGTGAATGAAATATGGGACGATTTAAAACTGAGTGGATTAGGGCCAGATTTGGACTCATATACAATATTGGTTCATGGGTTATGTGATAAAGAAAAGTGGAAAGAGGCTTGTAAGTTTTTTGTGGAGATGATAGAAAAGGGATTGCTTCCCCAAAAGGTTACTTTTGAGACGCTGTACAAGGGCTTGATACAGTCTGATATGTTGAGAACTTGGAGAAGGTTGAAGAAGAAGCTTGATGAAGAGTCAATAACGTTTGGTTCAGAGTTTCAACGTTATCAGTTAAAGCCATACAGGAGATGATGCACCATTTCCATACTATGACAGACTTAAACCATTTACATCTTGAGGTAATCTCATTCTAACTACCGACTTTAAGTTTGGTTACAAGAATTCTAGTTGAGTTGTGCTGAGTCATATAACTGATAATTTGGTTTTAGAATTAAGAAAATGATTTGCAGCTCAACATCCTCATAATGGCTGATGTTGTTACCATTTTTATTTAGTATCACTCATTGATCTACAACATCCAATGTTAGTCATTAGCAGTAGTTTTTAATTTGTTTATGCCAATCTATCCTGCTTGACTTATGGATAGCAGTCATTATCACTCATTGATTTAAAACATAATGCTAGTCATTAGCAGTGGTTTTGAATCTGTTTATGCTAATCGATCCTGCTTAGCTTACAGATAGGGTTCATTTACCACCATGGAAATACTTTTCTAGCCTTTGTTTTCTTCAGAAATTTTTTTTTCCTCTCTCCTCCTGTTGCAGAACTGTTTTGCCGTTTCCATTCTAGTTGTTCTCTTACCAATTTGTTATGCTTATGGACATAATTGCATTCACAATTTTGCAGAAAATTCACCGGGCTGCTTACAGCATCAGTTTCACAGCCTCGGCGCTGAAGCTTCGCCATTTCCCAATGGGTAATGTCCATGACGATAGAAATGACACAGCAAGGAGAGTGGCACCAGACAAGTTGTGAGGGAAAAATCATAGTTTATATGTAACAGGTTTTGCAACTTGCAAGATAATTTCAGGTTGGTCTTCCAGAAGATGACTCCAGTGAGTCACCTGAGCTAAGCAAATGTTATAATACGATTAACTATGGTACAAGCATCACTTAGGAGCAACGTGATTTGCATTGAGGATGCCTCCAAGTACCACTTAACCTCAGCCGATATGGTAAAAAGATGTGCCAGTTTAAATAGTCCTCTGTCGTTAGGCTGTATGCTGTTACATGAAAATGTTCATGTATGCTCCATATTTTTGTCTTGTATTTTTTTGGCTGTAAATTTATTCATGTTGATAGTTTTTTTTTTTAAAAAAAAAAAAAAAAAAAAAAATCAAAACAATAGATCTTTACGGCTATGTAAAAGAAAGCAGTTTTGACACAATGAGATAATTTTCTTCCAGAAAATACCCCCAATTTTCCTTGATGGTTGATAGCATGCTGCTGATGTCAGGCAAATGCGATAAGAACAGAGAATAAAAGGATTAGGCATGCCCAATGAGATCCCAAATTTGAGGAATAAAAGAGCCTATCTAGAGAGAATACTTGAAGTTGATGAAGCAAGCAATTCCATGACACCACCAAAAAGAAAGGAAGAAAATACGGAAAGAGAGATGGCAAGGGAAAGGAAACCCATGGAGGGAGAGAGAAGAAACTGAGTTGATCTACATCATCGATACAACTTAAATGACTTCATAAGTACTGTAATTACCGAATGTATTGATCCCGTTTGGTCATACTAAGGAGCAAAATTCTTATCATCCTCTTTTGAAACCCCAAAGAAAAAGTAAACCTCTGGAACATGTGCAACCTTCAAATAATCTCCATCGTTTTTGGTTGGGGTGCAGAGTCATGATTAGTTCTTTAGGCACATTGGAAAATTCCATTAGTTTCTGTGCCGTCAGTTGTTCAACGCCTGACGGAACCCTCTGCAATGATTTGTAGCCTTGAACCATTAGTTTTTCAAGACAAGGCATTGCTCCCGTCTCCATTGTTATTGTTTTCAGTCTATTTAGACCCAAAAACTTCAGCATTTGGAACCCTTCGACCTGGAAACACAACAGTTCTCCATCATAAACCTGCACAAATTCAAGATGTACCAACTTGGGCAAATGCTGAAGGGATACCAATTGATCATCGCTTAACCGACTCCATCTTAAACCTATCGTGGCCAAACTTTGAAGTGAAGATATCCGAGCTGGCCGTTGAAGAAATGGAGGAGTAGAAGATAAGTAGTCAATGTCAATGACTTCGCTCTTTCTTACTGCACTAACAGGCAATGTGCGAAGGTTGATCGACCTTCCAATGGTGGAACAAAGAGCTTTTCCGTAACCCTCGTAAAATCCGTAATCGTATAAGTGTACGTATATATATATCGGTTACGTATGTGAAAATCAGTAACCGAGTCAACATATGTATTGGAATATGTGGTATGTACGTATTTGTTGAGAGTAACGGGTGTGTCAATATTTATAAAAAAATAAAATAAAACGTTTGGTAAATTTGTTAGAAAATTTCTTTTATATGGAATAAGTATAAATTAGAAAAAAAAAAGGTGCTAATTGCCAAAATTTTGGGAGGAATTCTGAAAAAGTAGTTAATTTAGTTACCTTCATTTAATCACATTTTGGCCCCTACTTTCTCCAAATTTTCATTGACCATCACTTCTTCCTCCTTGAAATTTAAACCCATCATTTCATTAATTTCAGTCACTTTTATCTTGCATTTCACCACAAGCTCTTGACACTTGTAATGAACATTAAATGGATGAGATTAGGTTAGATATTTAAGTAAAAAAAATGAGATAAGGATGCATTTTTGGTGCATCTCGTAGCTTCCTTAAAGCCAAAAAAGAAAGAGTGAACGAGAGGGGAGAAAGAGAAAAAACGGGAAGGAAGAGAAGGGGAAAAGAAAGGAAAAAGAAAGGGAAACTAAAAGGAACCAAAAGAGATTTTAGGAAAGTTAATCCAATGTAAGTAGGTTTTATTTTTTTTTCTTGCTTTGTTTATGCTTTCCATGTTTATTTTATGAGTTGTTTAATTCATGTGAAATGTGATTATGGTATTTGTGATGATTTTAAACACTTGATGTTTGATGATGGATGGTTAAGCATGTGTGATGAGAAATGTGCTTTAAGAGAAGATTTTCAGATTTTAGGGGTGGAAAAACCCGAACTTGGTGTGATTTATTTCGGGATCTTAGAGTGATTTTTAGGAAAAATGAAAAAAATGAAAGTTGTTGATATATGTGTCTACTATGTCTCTTTAAAATTTAGTGACTTTTAGAGATATATATATGGAGTGATGACTGAATTAGTATGGATCGTTCGAATGGATCATCTACTGGAAAAATATTTCATTCCGAAAGTTGTGTGATTTATTTCGGGATCATAGAGTGATTTTTGGGCCAAACTCAAAAAAGGAAAGTTGTTCATCTATGTGTTTACTAGATTTATATAAAATGTCGTGATTTTTAGATCTGTATGTAAGGATTTATAACTGATTTGGTATGGATCGTTGAATGGACCAGCTACTGGGAAAGATTATTTAGTTCCGAAACTTGTGTGATTTATTTAAGGATTTTAGATTGATTTTTGGAGGACACTTAAAGAATGAAAGTTGTTGATCTACATGTCTAATATCTCTCCTTAACATTTCGTGAGTTTTAGATATATATTTAAGGAGTTATGGCTGGTTTGGTATAGGTTATTTAGGTGTGCCACTGCTGAAAAATTTTTTTACCTAAAATAAATGGGCTTGGATTAATGGTAATGGGCTTGGACTTGAGTTAAAATGAGATGGGCTTGGAATTAAAAATAAAGTGGGCTTAGATTAAAATAAATAGACTTGAGCTTGGATTAAAATAAATGGGCTTGGACTAATGTTAATGGGCTTGGACTTGAATTAAAATGAGATGGGCTTGGATTTAAAAATAAAGTGGACTTAGATTAAAACAAATGGACTTGGGCTTGGATTAAAATAAATGAGCTTGGATTAATGTTAATGGGCTTGAACTTGAGTTAAAATGAGATGAGCTTGGATTTAAAAATAAAGTGGACTTAGATTAAAACAAATGGACTTGGGCTTGGATTAATGTTAATGGGCTTGGACTTAAATAAAATAAACTTGGTAATGGACTTGGATTAAAATCAAAAGACTTGATTTTAAAGTAGATGGGCTTAGACTAACGAAAATGGGCTTAGGCTAAAATAAGTGGACTTAGATAGAAATAAAGAGGATTTTAAAATTTTAAAGAAAATTTATTCTTTCGAGAGAGGAATTACAAAAAAAAAAAGAAGAAGAAGAAGAAGAAGAAGAAGAATTGAACCTTCTTTAATTATTAATGAAACTAATAGACAATATTAATGAACGGAGGTTGTGTTCCCGCTATGAGTATCATGATGGGTATGTGAGCGCCGAGTGAATTCTAAGTGATGGTTGGATCTGTGAGTATGGCTTGAGAAAGAAGGGTTGGTACCCGAGTTTGGTTGAATGTGATTAAACATGTCATCACGTGCATCATGTGTATTGGGGGTGAAAATAAATTAAAAAAAATCATTGAGTCTTGAATCGACACGGTTTGATAGCCGAATTGAGTGGATTGGGTAATAGCAAGGAATCCATAGTGCGAGCTCTATTTATTAACACCGTTAAGCGAGGGATAATTTCGTTGCGAGCGAGTAGGTGATATTGAGATTATTGAGAGAAAGTAATAGAGCGACAGGTGATAACACGATCACCGAGAGATTGGATGCACGGACTTGCATATACCTAGGGTACCGGATTAAAATGGATGAAAATATGGGAAACACAATAGCATTGCATATCACGTGCATCACCCTACTTACCGAGCTTTGGCTCATTCCGTTATTGTATTTGTGTGTTGTTCGGGCAAGGGCAAAGTTAAGCTCGATCGAGGATGCTATCGGTTCTCGCTAAAAGAGGCTCATGTGTCACTCATAAAAATAGGAATATCTTTTGTGTCATTAAAAAGGGTACGGGCCTAGGTTGTAAAATTATATGCATTTTGAATATGTTATAAATTATAGAACTATCCGTAATAATGTTGTATATTATATCATACGTTTCCCATGGTTTAGTTTCGTCGTGTATGATGGAGGAAGTAGGGGACTTAGTCCCAACAAGTGTGTCGTGCCGATCACGTTTGTTAGGTAATAGGTAAGGGAGCCGAGGGCGTCACATTTAGTGGTATCGAGCTTTGGTTTAGTAAGTTGGGTAGAGTCCTAAGTGTCATATGAGCCCGAGAACCGGTACCCTCTTCGACGGTATAAAAAAATTGATTTATTATTTGTTTGGGTAAATAAATGTATGTGATTGTTGTATATGTTTTGTGTTGTTATATACTCATACACCATAAAATAATGACGATTAGAAATATTCCCATTTGTAAATGCCGTGTATATGACGTGTTCCCTGAGTTGCTAGGACCCATAGGCAGAGGGTCACACTAGCCGCTTATTGGGTGGAACTAAATAACCTTGCTATGACACCGGATCAAGATATAGTTACTCACGTGATTAGAGTATATAACCCGATTCGACGAGATAGTATTTGCTGATGCCACTTTTATCTAGTACCATAACCTAGATTATATGCGGATAACTTTACGCAAGACTCTCCTACCCAGTGATCGGCAGATTCTTGGATGAGGTATGGGAGGGTCAAATCGATCGCAATTCTTATCGAAACCTAATCCAAACTTTATTACCAATCCAGGCTAGGCGGACCCCCATTAGGTTGATGTTTAATTGGGGTTTACTCGTGTGCATTATTTGAGAAATCGCACATGTCGCATTGGTTGATGCTATTAATTGGTGGATGGTAGAGGGTATCTTTTCACGATGCATCCGATACATATTCTGATATGTTAGCCGCACTCGCTTAGACATATGAGATAAAACATGCCGCCAAGAAGGAACCCGAGTGCGAGAAGAAGGAGAAGGAACCTCTAATGATAATAACGTGAACTAACAAGATGCGTTGAACCGTATGTTGGACATACTACAGCAACAACAGCAAGCAATACAACAACAACAACAAACCCATACGGTGTAGATGAGACAACTTCGGCTATGCGCCAACGACCTCCACCTCCGCCTCCTTAGCATAGGAATGACGTGGTAGAGAGATTCCGTAAGATGAATCCTCAAGAATTCTCCGGAGGTGTTAACCCGATGATAACGGAAGAATGGATTAAATCCTTGGAGGTAATATTTGAGTATCTACACTTGAATGATAATGAATGGGTGTCGTGTGCTATCTTTATGCTAACCACGGATGCTCGCACCTAGTGGGAAAGTGCACGAGTAACGGTTAATATAGCCACGTTAACTTGGGAAAGGTTTAAGGAAATGTTTTACAACAAGTATTTCACTACCGACATAAAGGCTAGGAAGATTTAGGAATTTCTAGAATTGAAACATGATGGAATGTCGGTAGGGGAATATGTACAAAAGTTTGAACAAGGGTGCCGATTTGTTTCATTCATTGTCGAGGATAAAAATTTGAAAAAGAATCGATTTTTAACGAGATTGAACCCGAGAGTTTAGATTATGGTACGGATGTCCGTCGATAATACTTTTTCGAAATGGTAGATAAAGCATTGCTGGCGTGACGAGGATCGAAGAAAATTTCAAAGGAGATACAACAAAAAAGGCAAACATTCAAGTTTGGAGCTTCTTCCTCTAGGCCATTAAGACGAGCTCCGCTAAGAAACTTCAATCGAGGCAATGGTTCGGGAAGTGCACGAGCTGCCGGACCGCCACCACATGCCCCAAGGCCACTATCGGGAAGTCAACCGAGACCAATGTTAGGTAACCAATCTCGATGCAATAAGTGTGAAAGGTTTCACATCGGGGAGTGTCCATCGGATTTGAGAACTTGCTTTATCTGTCACAAGCAAGGGCACATAGCCTCTAACTATCCCCAAGTATAAAAATGAAGACCGGGAAGGATACCTGCTCGGGTGTATGCGATGACTCAAGATGAGGCCGACCGGAAGGACTCGGCGATGATTTATGGTAATGTCTCACTTCTTGGCTTGGTTACTAATGTTTTGATTGATTTAGGTGCTACTCATTCATTCATATCAAAAAACATTGGTAGAAAAGCCTAGGAATTAAACCCAAAAAATTAACGAGTAGGATATCCGATAGTAGTCCCTTTTGGAGAATATATGGAGTCGATGAGCCTAGTAAAACGAGTG